GCCTGGTGTGGGTGTAGCGCCTGGTGTGGGTGTAGCGCCTGGTGTGGGTGTAGCTGGTGTGGGTGTAGCGCCTGGTGTGGGTGTGGGGCCTGGTGTGGGTGTAGGGCCTGGTGTGGGTGTAGCGCCTGGTGTGGGTGTAGCTCCTGGTGTGGGTGTAGCGCTGGTGTGTGGGTGTGGGATGTGAAATCACCCATTGTTAATTTTTATTTTATTTATTTTTTCGTTTCAGTTCATGTTATTAATTTCCTCCATATAATCAGTAAATAAAAGCAGGTGGGGAGACACGTCGTACAGCCCAAGTTAACGCAGTACTACCTCACCTTAGCCTGGGTGAGACATAGAAAACGGAGCCTTTTGTTTATGACCTCACGCAAGTGATTATTCATACATATATCATCTTAGAATACCGTCATGTGTGTGTGTGTGTGTTGTGTGTGTGTGTGTGTGTGTGTGTGTGTGTGTGTGAAAACATCCAAACTGGCTTTATAAAGTAGACACATAAGCGGCAGGCCTAGATGGTTTTGGTAATGCGTTTTAACTCATTGATGTCTGCGTCTGCTTGAGTTACCTTCGAGCACGATGGTTGAACAGGATGTGGTTTAACGACAAAAGGACGATAGTTTAACCTTTGAGGACAGGTGTTTTGTCTAACAAACTGTAGCAATTTGTTTATTTACTGGTGGACGATGTATTTATTTATAATGATGACAGATTACGCCATCGTCCTCAATAGATAATGGGAGAAGGTAACGAACAGCACTTTGAGAATCCATCTATCGTAAACTGGGTGAAGAGGTGTAGGTGTATAGTGTCACATAATGATGCATACAATAGAGGTGTAGGTGTATAGTGTCACATAATGATGCATACAATAGAGGTGTAGGTGTATAGTGTCACATAATGATGCATACAATAGAGGTGTAGGTGTATAGTGTCACATAATGATGCATACAATAGAGGTGTAGGTGTATAGTGTCACATAATGATGCATACAATAGAGGTGTAGGTGTATAGTGTCACATAATGATGCATACAATAGAGGTGTAGGTGTATAGTGTCACATAATGATGCATACAATAGAGGTGTAGGTGTATAGTGTCACATAATGATGCATACAATAGAGGTGTAGGTGTATAGTGTCACATAATGATGCATACAATAGAGGTGTAGGTGTATAGTGTCACATAATGATGCATACAATAGAGGTGTAGGTGTATAGTGTCACATAATGATGCATACAATAGAGGTGTAGGTGTATAGTGTCACATAATGATGCATACAATAGAGGTGTAGGTGTATAGTGTCACATAATGATGCATACAATAAGTGTAGGTGTATAGTGTCACATAATGATGCATACAATAGAGGTGTAGGTGTATAGTGTCACATAATGATGCATACAATAGAGGTGTAGGTGTATAGTGTCACATAATGATGCATACAATAGAGTGTAGGTGTATAGTGTCACATAATGATGCATACAATAGAGGTGTAGGTGTATAGTGTCACATAATGATGCATACAATAGAGGTGTAGGTGTATAGTGTCACATAATGATGCATACAATAGAGGTGTAGGTGTATAGTGTCACATAATGATACATACAATAGAGGTGTAGGTGTATAGTGTCACATAATGATACATACAGGTGTAGGTGTATAGTGTCAGAATGATACAGGTGTACACAGGTTGGTTATCATTACCTGCTCTATTGTAACCCCACCAACTACTCAATTATAGCTCATATTATTGCTGCCTCGAATTGAATAATAATATCTGAAATATTAAAAGAATATACATATAAGGAGAATAATAATACCAAAAACAATATTAATATTAGCAGTAGTAATAATAGTTGTAGTTCTGTAATTAATAATAACACTAATGCGGTTTTAACTTAAGAAATGAGTATGGCGGTAGTTTTTATATGTACTGTATATACTTCAGGTTAACACGGGGTCTTTACACACACATAAACTAGTTCCCAAAAGGATGCAGTCAACCTTAGATTCTGAATGGGTTCCTCCACCACTGTTATAAACAGCATATAACCATGCTCTCTCAACTGGTGGTAACGTTTTGTAGCTAAAGAAAAACGTGTTAGTCAGGTCGTGGAGGGCTGACTATAGTAATCTATCACTAGTTCCCAAGTGCGAGGACTTGATCTTACTCTTCTGTATATATTAGCCTTGTCAAGTATTACTCTTAGTCTGTACTGAAGATGTGAATTACACGAATGCGCAAGACGTGTTCTCTTGTTCCTTGTGGTTATCATATACTTGGATCACGCGCACCTACTGTGATTTACTTGCGTGAGGAAATAAGCAAAGCATTAAACAACTACTTTTTATCAGTTTTCACAGAAGAAATTAAAGAATATCACTATCAGAAAAGAGGATGTTCTTGAAGATAAATAAATTAAGAAGACAAATCCCCAGGACCGGATGAAATTTTCCTCGAGTTTTGAAAGAGTGTAAGGAACAGATTAGCGGACCCTCGTAAATTTATTAAAAACTCATTACCCTTTAGACACGGAGTTGTGCCAGACTTGTGGAAACAGGCAAATGTAGTACCTATATTCAAAAGAGACAGAGCATCAGCGTCAAATTACCGGCCGATTAGTTTGACGTCAGTAGTGGGAAATTTCTTGAATCAATTATAGCAAATAGCATCCGAACGCATTTAGAGAAAAAGCAAATTAATCTACGACTCTCAACACCAAACAAGCTATGACCTACCAAACAAAGCAATGACCTACACCAAACAAAGCAACTGACCTACACCAAACAAAAGCTATGACCTACACCAAAGGGCCTATAGTTAGTTTGGTTGAATAAGATTGTTTGGACTTTAAAATAACTTATATTAAGGTTTCTGCCCTGCTCCCTCCTGCCTCCGCTCCCTCCTGCCCCGCTCCCTCCTGCCTCCGCTCCCCCTCCTGCCTCCTGCCCCCTCCTCCTTGCTCCCCTCCTGCCCGCTCCTGCCCTCCGCTCCCCTCTGCCCCGCTCCCCCTCCTGCCCCTGCTCCCCTGCCCCGCTCCCCTCCTGCCCCCTTCCCTCCTGCCCCCCCTTCCCTCCTCCCCCTTCCCCTCTCCCCCCCTCCCCTCCTGCCCCTCCCCTCCCGCCCCCCCTCCCTCCTGCCCCCCTCCCCCCTCTGCCCCCGCTCCCCCTCCTGCCCCCTCCCTTCTGCACCCCCTTCCCCTCCTGCCCCCCCTCCCCTCCTCCCCTCCCCTCCCTCCCTCCAAAAAAAAATAAAAAATAAATAAATAAATAAAAAATAAATAATATCTGTAAATAATGTTTACGTCAAGATTCGGCGGGATTTCTGATCTTTACGAGATTAAGCCGGGCACAAGTCATCGACCCACAGCGGGGCCTGGGGGTGGAACAAGAACAGAAAGAAATTGAAAATAGAAAAAAGGTTATACTGCGTTAATCTACACCACCAAGATGCCGGAAAACCAGATTCTTAAAGTGATACAGATTGTATAAGTGTGGAAACACAGAAGAAGGCAGAGCATTCCACAGTTTGGCTGTGTGAGGAAAGAGTACTATAACGGGTTATTCTCGTGTGACCGACATCCACAGACAAACGGTGGGCAAGTGTGTTACGAGCACGGCTTGCCGGCAGTACAGGATGCCAAATCAGTGGACCTTCAGTGATTTAGCTCGTGTTGTTAGTTAACTCCTATAATGGCAAGACTCACGTGATTGTATCTCTCTCTCTCTTTGTCCCTCAAACGTGACTGATAAGAGACAACGGCGGATAACGGAAAAACGAAAATCCTAAATAAAAAAAAAACAAATCATTTATTTTTGACACCAGACCACATCAGCGTTCTAGGGAGACAATATGTTAACCCTGTAGTGAGCCAGGCAGCCGCTTTATTTTAACACTTCAAGCTGAGATACTGAACTTGTACTTGTCAAGCTGAGATACTGAACTTGTACTTGTCACGCTGAGATACTGAACTTGTACTTGTCAAGCTGAGATACTGAACTTGTACTTGTCAAGCTGAGATACTGAACTTGTACTTGTCACGCTGAGATACTGAACTTGTACTTGTCAAGCTGAGATACTGAACTTGTACTTGTCAAGCTGAGATACTGAACTTGTACTTGTCAAGCTGAGATACTGAACGTGTACTTGTCAAGCTGAGATACTGAACTTGTACTTGTCAAGCTGGTACTGAACTTATGCTTGTTAAGCTAGTACTGAACTTGTACTTGTCAAGCTGAGATACTGAACTTGTACTTGTCAAGCTGAGATACTGAACTTGTACTTGTCAAGCTGAGATACTGAACTTGTACTTGTCAAGCTGAGATACTGAACTTGTACTTGTCAAGCTGAGATACTGAACTTGTACTTGTCAAGCTGAGATACTGAACTTGTACTTGTCAAGCTGAGATACTGAACTTGTACTTGTCAAGCTGAGATACTGAACTGTACTTGTCAAGCTGAGGTGCTGAACTTGTACTTGTCAAGCTGAGGTACTGAACTTACTTGTCAAGCTGAGATACTGAACTTGTACTTGTCAAGGCTGAGATACTGAACTTGTACTTGTCAAGCTGAGATACTGAACTGTACTTGTCAAGCTGAGATACTGAACTTGTACTTGTCAATGAGATACTGACTTGTACTTGTCAAGCTGAGATACTGAACTTGTACTTGTCAAGCTGAGATACTGAACTTGTACTTGTCAAGCTGAGGTACTGAACTTGTGTCAAGCTGAGATACTGAACTTACTTGTCACGCTGAGATACTGAACTTGTACTTGTCAAGCTGAGATACTGAACTTGTACTTGTCAAGCTGAGATACTGAACTGTACTGTCAAGCTGAGATACTGAACTTGTACTTGTCAAGCTGAGATACTGAACTTGTACTTGTCAAGCTGAGATACTGAACTTGTACTTGTCAAGCTGAGATACTGAACTTGTACTTGTCAAGCTGAGAGATACTGAACTTGTACTTGTCAGCTGAGATACTGAACTTGTACTTGTCAAGCTGTATCTGTTATCGTCCCATGAGCCACCTTTATAAAGTGTTCTCTGGCCATTACACCCTTTATGTTGTCGCTGGATAGTGTGTTGGGCAGGATGCTGACTGAGAGTGTGGTGGGCAGGATGCTGACTGAGAGTGTGGTGGGCGGGATGCTGATGAGTGTGGTGGGCGGGATGCTGACTGAAATTGTGTGGGCGGGATGCTGACTGAAGTGTGGTGGGCAGGATGCTGACTGAAGTGTGGTGGGCGGATGCTGACTGAGTGTGGTGGGCAGGATGCTGACTGAGAGTGTGGTGGGCGGGATGCTGACTGAGAGGTGTGGTGGGCGGGATGCTGACTGGAAGGTGGGCGGATGCTGGAGAGGTGGGCGGATGCTGACTGAGAGTGTGGTGGGCGGGATGCTGACTGAGAGTGTGGTGGGCGGGATGCTGACTGAGGTGTGGTGGGCAGGATGCTGACTGAGAGTGTGGTGGGCAGGATGCTGACTGAGAAGTGTGGTGGGCGGGATGCTGACTGAGAGTGTGGTGGGCGGGATGCTGACTGAGAGTGTGGTGGGCGGATGCTGACTGAGAGTGTGGTGGGCGGGATGCTGACTGGAGTGTGGTGGGCGGATGCTGACTGAGAGTGTGGTGGGCGGGTTGCTGACTGAGTGTGGTGGGCGGATGCTGACTGAGAGTGTGGTGGGCGGGATGCTGACTGAGAGTGTGGTGGGCGGGATGCTGACTGAGAGGTGTGGTGGGCGGATGCTGACTGAGAGTGTGGTGGGCGGGATGCTGACTGGAGAGTGTGGTGGGCGGATGCTGACTGAGGTGGTGGCGGGATGCTGACTGAGAGTGTGGTGGGCGGATGCTGACTGAGAGTGTGGTGGGCGGATGCTGACTGGGAGTGTGGTGGGCGGATGCTGACTGAGAGTGTGGTGGGCGGATGCTGACTGAAGGTGTGGTGGGCGGATGCTGACTGAGAGGTGTGGTGGGCGGGATGCTGACTGAGTGTGGTGGGCGGATGCTGACTGAGGTGTGGTGGGCGGATGCTGACTGAGAGTGTGGTGGGCCGGATGCTGACTGAGAGTGTGGTGGGCGGATGCTGACTGAGAGTGTGGTGGGCGGGATGCTGACTGAGAGTGTGGTGGGCGGGATGCTGACTGAGAGTGTGGTGGGCGGGATGCTGACTGAGAGTGTGGTGGGCGGGATGCTGACTTTCCTCCCTAATTGTTGTTGCTAATAATGTGGAAGCGTTAAGCTGATAACAACACCATTGATATTATTATAGTGATGATCGGCTCTCGGGAAGGTGGGCAATGCGGGTGCTACTTTACATTACATATGGGTAGACAAATACTGTACGTGTTTATATTAGTACACACACACACACACACACACACACACACACACACACACACACACACACACACACACACACACACACACACACACACACACACACACAGTAATTTATTATCGTGTTTATAAGTTTGTTTGTGAGGTCAGCTTACCTTCAGCCGATGACCTGTGACCTCACGCTCAGGGTAACAACCCTTTGTGTACGAGCGTCTGGGTTGTTGTTTTATGGTAGGGAATTCAGGTAAAAAAGTCACAGGTAAAAAAGAAAAGTTAACTATCGAATTCTCACATTTTTTAAGGTTAATATGTCAATCAGTTTCAGTAAAGGAATATGCAGAACTGATGGTAACCTAACCTAACCTAACCTAACCTTTATTACCGGCCACCATAAATTAATTGTCACTTTTTTTCCTGTGACTTTTTTCCTAGCCAAAATTGTGACTTTTTTCCTGTGACTTTTTTTCCTGTGACTTTATTACCGGCCACCATGGTAGGATGACGTGTATGGTGGGCTGGGTGTATCTCTACTGTATGTTCGCTCTAGTGAGTAAATACCTCAAGGGTCGTGGGTCGTTCACGTGTGTTTGTCCACCTTTGGGCGTTCACTCGCTTACACATGTGACAATATGTACGGTATCATAATGTACATGTACTGCACTGTACATACATGACTGAATGTAAGTTTGTGGTTGTGTTTGTCTTGTTTTATACAAGTGCGATAAACAGAAGAGCTTAATAGAAACACTCAGGTGATGTTTGTAACGAAAGTGAATTATTTAAGTGAGGGTTTTAGTATTGTATTTACTCATGTTTGATGCACCACAGGAACAGTACTACAACATCCCCGTCAGTGTTCACGTGAGATGCGTCACCAAGACGCCCCTTGTCGTGCCTGTACTACTGTAGACATCCTGAGGAGAGGCGTGAGGAGTGTTGCTGGATTCCTTTTACCGCTTCCTGTCACCCAAGATTCCCTCAAGGCCCCGTGGAAGTCCCAGGAACGTACCGGAGACTCAGGTACATCGTGGAGTAGGAAGATGGGCTCAACACGTCCTGCCAAAGGGTTTGGGTGTGGCCGGGGCGGCGGAGGGTTCATCTATGGTGGGTTCAAGGGCGCCGTGGTAGTGCCGAAAGGGATGTCATCCTCACGACCCCGAGGATGCTCACAGTCTTCTTTGGGCTTTCCTCCGTCTCAGTCATCGTCAGTATCCTCCTTAGGACAGGTGCCGTTGGAAAATCCACACCTCCGACACCGTATTACTTCAGCACAGTCCTCATACTCCTTGGCGCAGTCATCGTCAACACACTCTCTCGCGCAGTCCTCCTCAGCTTACTCCCTGGCGCAGTTATCGTCAACACACTCTCTCGCGCAGTCCTCCTCAACTTACTCCCTGGCGCAGTCATCGTCAGCATCATCGCTGGCGTCCTCATCAACGATACAGTCTTCAGTGCCGCCGTTAGCTCCTTCATATTCTACCCATTCCATGGCACCGTCACCAAGAATACCTTCATCCTTAGTGCCACCGTCGGGCTATCCGTCGTCGGCAACACACTCTCTGCCGCCACCGGTGGGAGGATACTCCATCGCACCCTCAACGTCGAAACAGTCTTTGGTGTCCACACATTCCAGAGTACCATCACCATGTGGACATTCCTCATCCTCTGTGGACTCCCTTACACCGTTACCCTCACAAAGATCCAGGTTGTCCCCTTGTGTTCCTCGCGAGGGGCCGCCACTACACACAGGGTTATCTTCTGCTTTCTCATCTCCGTTTCTGCCCCTCACAAGGAGTGCCTCCAACCTAACCCGAGGCTGGCGAGATTTCAAACAACACGTTCTAAGGGAGAGAAAACAAGACACCAGACCAAATCAAGGTACCAAAGACTCAGCCTTATCTCAAGGTACCAAAGACTCAGCTTTATCTCAAGGAACCAAAGACTCAGCCTTATCTCAAGGTACCAAAGACTCAACCTTATCTCAAGGTACCAAAGACTCAACCTTATCTCAAGGTACCAAAGACTCAGCCTTATCTCAAGGTACCAAAGACTCAACCTTATCTCAAGGTACCAAAGACTCAACCTTATCTCAAGGTACCAAAGACTCAACCTTATCTCAAGGTACCAAAGACTCAACCTTATCTCAAGGTACCAACGGTGAAAAGGAAAACAAAAATCCTTCTGTGTTCAACAAGAAAAAAAGTAAACTCAAGGAGCGACGGGACCGCCTACGACGGTTCACCACCAGCGTCCTGCCGTCACAGCTGAAGGGCCTCGTGCAGCAGAGTTCCAGCACCGGTGATTCTCGCTCTCACCATCATATAACTGACGGTGTTGACGCAAGAGCAAGAAAAATGCAGCGTCTTAGTGATTTGCCAGACGAACCCGAGGCTCCTCAAGTGAACCGTACAAGATCTGACGTCAGCCATAGTAATAAAGTGAGTCAAGTAGAGCTTAATAACTGCACTGTTCCGGCCAGTTTGCACTCGGCCAACCCAGCACCCCCCAAACCCCCCAGGACATATATTAAGGAAGTGTCGACCACGCCATCAACATTTCGTCACTCTAGAAGCAACAGTGTGCCTGGTCAACCATTCGCCCAACAAATATTCAACTTGCAGGAGGATCTTGTGTCAAGTACCATCAAGAAGAAGCCTATGCCCGCCCCCAGATCGGTCTTCCCTACCTTCCTCACGCCCCTCAGTAGGAAGAGGTGTCCTAATTCCTCCACCCAGGTAAACACCGCTGTTAAAACCAGTGTTGAAGACGCTGCCATTCACTGCTCAACCCCTGTCACGTTGCCAAAGAACTCTGCTCAGTACTCGGGGCAGAAAAGTGAAGAAGTTAAAAGAGCAAGAAAACTGAATCTGAGGAGAGAATCAAATGGTAAACAAGTGTACTATTTCGACTCCTCTTTGGACGCCTCCTACACCAGTCACAAGTGTTATCTGACGTCCTCGGGGGCCCTGGACGACTCCTTCACGTCCTTCAGCGGCCCCGCGCAGGATCGGGAGGACATACCGTGGATCACCACACCGCCTCAGTGTAAATTGAAGCCTTCCCGATCCTTGTGTAACGTGAACCTTGGCGGAGCAGATCCACGGAGTACGTGGGCCGTCCTTCGCTCTCTTACGTCACACACCCACAACAAGGTGAGGCGGCGCATTACAGTTGTAGGGTAGACGCGTGTTACAGGGCCATGTACTGTAGTCTTATATTTACTACACTCGATGATAATAGGCAATTGGTTACAGAATATAAGTAGTGTTTCGTATGTCAACAACGTAGACTGGAGGCCTAAGCTTTAGAAATTGCTGATTAACTTTGTTGTTCATTGCTACATCATAGTCTTGTGTTTGTGTGTGTGTGTGTGTGTGTGTTATCTAGAAAGTAGTTTCATGTCGGCATCCTGAAGGTGACGCGAGTATTGAGGGAGAGGGAAGGTTATATGGACGTTGTATTTACTGTATAATGAGGTCAAGGGCGACATTATTGTGGCCAAACTTGAGTACCAGCAAGAAGTGTGGGGCGGAAAGGTCGGCGACCAGTACCTAATGCTATAGTGGGGGAGTGTAGTGTAGTGACCAGTACCTAATGCTATAGTGGGGGAGTGTAATGTAGTGACCAGTACCTAATGCTATAGTGGGGGAGTGTAGTGTAGTGACCAGTACCTAATGCTATAGTGGGGGAGTGTAATGTAGTGACCAGTACCTAATGCTATAGTGGGGGAGTGTAGTGTAGTAAAGTGACCAGTGCTACAGCAGGGGAGTGTAGTTTAGTGTAGTGACTACCTAATGCTATAGTGGGGAGTGTAGTGTAGTGTAGTGACCAGTACCTAATGCTACAATGGGGGAGTGTAGTGTAGTGACCAGTACCTAATGCTATAGTGTGGGGGAGTGTAATGTAGTGACCAGTACCTAATGCTATAGTGTGGGGGGAGTGTAGGTAGTGTAGTGACCAGTACCAATGCTATAGTGGGGAGGTAGTGGTAGTGACCAGTACCTAATGCTGTAGTGAAGTGTAGTAGTGTGGCTGACAGTACCTAATACTATAGTAGAGAAGTCCTTCATAGCTGTAACACTAATGCTATAATGGAGTGTAATTATAGTGACCAGTACCTAATCTTATAGTAGAGTGTAATCATATTGACCAGTACCTAATGCTATAATGGGGAGTGTAGTACATGATACCTAATATATAGTGGGGAAATTATGATGTAGTGGCCAGTACCTAATACTATAGTAGAGGTAATGCAGCGGCAGTACCTAATACTATAGTAGAAATTATAAGTATAAGTATTGATACCTAATACTATAGTAAGAAGTGTAGTGTAGTGACATTTACTATAGTAGGGGAGTGTAGTATAGTTTAGTGACAGTACCTAATGCTATAGTGGGGAGTGTAGTGTAGTGACCCAGTACCTAATGCTTTATAGTGATAGAAGTGTATGGTGTAGTGTAGTGACCAGTACCTAATTAACTATAAGTGGGAGTGTAGTGTAGTGTAGTGTAATGACCAATACTATACTATAGTGGGGGAGTGTAGTGTAGTGACCAGTACCTAATACTATAGTGGGGGAGTGTAGTGTAGTGTAGTGTCCAGTACCTAATACTATAGTGGGGGAGTGTAGTGTAGTGTCCAGTACCTAATACTATAGTGGAGGAGTGTAGTGTAGTGTAGTGACGATGTTGAGTGTTATGGGAAATCCTGTACAGTACAGGACGCTTCATCACAGGATGTGGTAAACTACCAACCATCTCAAGATGGTTAAGTCATGGTTCACGTTTGCTTGTGTTTGACCTGTAGTGATTATGATGCCTTGTAATGTGAATGGCAGTGACAAGTGTGACTCTTCAACGTTGTCAAAAGTCCAACGTGCAGCAGCCTTGTTGTTTAAGTCCGTCACAACCCTCACTGTACACTGCCTTTGTCTGTCTCCTTGACATACTTACTATATTGTTCAAACTATTACTCAACTTCCTGTAGAAAAGCATGAAATCTTGTGTCATTATTTTTATGGAGTAAATCAAAATGTGGTGCTGTACTGTATGACATAGTTATTATTAAGTCAGTAAATATAGTGCTGATATGGCCTATGGGGGCTGCCTACAGGTGATGATGTGGCTCTTGACCACAGTGTGACGCTGCCCCACGTACCCGGTTGGCAGCCTGGGTTCTCTATTTTTGTACTTCCGGTGTAGGATGTTACTCGTTGGTCTGTGTCGTGTGTACAGTACCGTCTTAATAAACAATATGTCCGATGAATATTGAACCCTGGTGAAGTAAACTGAAAGAGTAACTGTGACTATATCTGGCCAGTTGGTACTCCTGACTAGATACTAGCTTTGTGTGTGTGTGTGTGTGTGTGTGTGTGTGTGTGTGTGTGTGTGTTATCACTAATGAGCTAACTATATATTTTGTCTCCCCAGGTATGTGTCGTGTGCTTGGAGCCGTGGTGGCGGGGCTCAGGTCAGTGGTCTCATCTGGTTATTAATACCGTATGTTTTTCTTCTTCCCTGTGGTGATTTATTGGTCATGGAGTCACAGTGTGTTATGTAACTTCCGGCCTCGGTGGTTCCTTAAGTTCAGGACCAGAAGGAAGTAACTTTTGATTTCCCTCTGACTTAAAGACGTCAAGTATAGCTGTATTACTTGACGTGAGTTACCAAACAGTTATCATAATACGATATACAGTGACTTGAATTGAATTGAATTGAAACAGTTTATTTAGTCAGAAGAACACAGATACAGAGTGGATAATAATAACAATATTAACATGGCTGAGCCAGTTGAGAACCTGAGCTGCACCTGATATATACTGTACATTTATCTCAAGGAAGTATTATGTAATATTTAGTATCATCTGGAATAGTACAATAGCATGGTGGTAATAAGAACATGTTACCACGGTTGTCACTTCAATACTTATTTATTTTATTTATTTATTATTATTATTTATTTATATATACAGTGATGCGGGTCACCATTGGATGTCAACAAGAAAGAGGTTGACAAGTTTTTGATCATTGTTTTTGATCGTTGTTGATCATTGTGACTAGTAAACAATAATGGTGGGTCGTGAACCAGCTGTGGAGTGCTCGGGGAGGCCAGGGTGTCGTGTTCGGTGAGGCTGGAGAGGAGCTAACGTGTGACTGCTACCTGCACAACGCCGCGCCGTCAGTTGAAAGTAGCGTGGTTAGGTGGCGACTATTTAGTGTGGTAATGGTGTGTGTTGTGGTGTAGCCGCGTACATACACTGGTGACCAGTCTATATATTACACTAAACTTTACACGCCCGATACTTTAATTGTTAAAGCGCAGTAGATCAGAGCAACACACCAGCTTCACGTTCTGAGAGTCACACGGGAATGTTACCCCTCAATACTCGAGTCTTACTGCCTCAACGTTACCAGACACTGTGTTGAGTAGCCTGTAGTTTAGCGCCTCCAGCGAGCTCAGGTCATAAGGACAGAATGGTCTTTGTGTCGCACTAGATTGGTTACGATAGGATAGGTTAAGTTAGAATAGGTTAGGATAGGTTGGGTGAGGTTAGGTTAGGATAGGTTGGGTTAGGTTAGGTTAGGTTGTAAGGGAGTTAATGACCACAGTCCAACATTATCAGGGCGGTAGGAACTATGACGCCGGGACACGATTTATTGCGTGGCTTGTCATGTTGTGGTAGTGATGGTGTGGTAGTGGTGGTGTGGTAGTGGTGGTGGGGTAGTGGTGGTGTGGTAGTGGTGGTGTAGTAGTGGTGGTGTGGTAGTGGTGGTGTGGTGTGTTGGTGTGGTATTCGTGGTGTGGTAGTGGTGGTGTGGGTGGTGGTAGAAAGTGGTGGTGTGGTAGTGGTGGTGTGGGTAGTGGTGGTGTGACAGTGGGTGTGGGTAGTGTGGTGTGGTGGTGTGATAGTGTGGGTGGGTGTGGTAGTGGTGGTGTGGGTGGTGGTGTGGTAGTGGTGGTGACAGTGGGACAGTGTGTGGTAGTGGCAGTGTGGCATTGGCTGTGTGGTGGGACAGTGGTGTGGCAGTGGTGGTGTGGCAGTGGTGGTGACAGGTGGTAGTGTGGTGGTGGTAGTGGTGGTATGATAGTGGCTGTGTGATAGTGGCTGTGTGGCAGTGGTGGTGTGATATGTGTGTGGTAGTTGTGGTGTGGTAGTGTGGCAGTGGTGGTGTGGTAGTGTGGCAGTGGTGGTGTGATAGTGGTGTGGTGGTGTTGTAGTGGTGGTGTGATAGTGGTGGTGTGGGTAGGTGGTGACAGTGGTGGTGTGATATGGCTGTGGTGTGGCAGTGGCTGTGTGGCAGTGGTGGTGTGATAGTGGTGGTGTGTAGTGGTAGTGTGGTAGTGTGATAGTGGTGGTGTGTGTGTGGTGGTGTGATAGTGGTAGTGTGGTGGTGGTGGTGTGGTAGTGGTGGTGTGATAGTGGTTGTGTGATAGTGGTTGTGTGGTAGTGGTGGTGTGATAGTGGTGGTGTGGTAGTTGTGGTGTGGTAGTGGTAGTGTGGTTGTCCAACACTATAGTTATAAGGTGGTAGTGTGGTGGTGTGGTTGTTGCAGAAATATGGAGTAGCATTTGGGGATAAGGCTGTGGCGGAGGGCTGGCTGGCGTGCCCATTATTCCTACAGCACGTGTACCAGCCATTGGGCCTCCGACAAGTGAGTCACGAAGGATTCCCTGTAAGTCCAGTGTGTTGGGTGAGTCAGTGGTAGAGGCAGGAAATACGGGAGGTAGTGACGAGCTCGGCGGTGTTTGATTCACGGGGACTGTAGCCACACTGTTGCCCTGGACGCACTTCTTTGCCTTCACAGTACACACAGCGTCTCTGGCCACCAAGTCATATGTCCACATGGTCGCCGACTTTGTTGTTTGGTTGAGTGTGAGGTAACATAGTTTATATTGTTTGGTGTAGACGGATAGTGGGGTTGGATATTTTGTGTTGAAGGCGGTGGTGATGTTAGGTATTTGGCATCGTGCGCGTGGGTTGCCGGATACCAAAGGCGGGGGTCCTGGAACCTACCGCCCAGATGCATGAAACTCCCCCTACGGAAGTGAATTATTCCTCCTAGCTGTCGTTAGTTACCTCCTGGTAGTTTGTGCATTATAGTGGAGGTGCTGCTGCGGTAGTTCCTGTAGTGGGGAGCGAAGGTCGTGGGTGATGGTCAAAGTAAGAAGGAGGCGTGTCCGG